CATCTCAGAAGAAAGGCCCAGAGTCCTTGAGAGACCCCACCCCTAGGAAACGGGCAGCGCAGAAAGTTCGAGCATTCCGCGTAAGTCCCTCAATCTCCACCTACCGCACGGTGTGCTGACCGCGGAAGTACTGCTGGATTGTCAGGGCTGCTCGCTTCTCTCGGAGGAACCTTTTCCTCTGCAGCCAGCCACGGATGTGCTTCTGTATCACGACACAACCCTGCCTCAGTTTATCTAGCCGCAGTTTCTCTAAATACGCCACTTGTCCTGCTCTGAAGAAAATCTTGGTTTTACCAAACTGGTACTGATTCGAATCCTGGGTGGGAATAAAGAGAAAAACGAGAGAGACAATCAGAAACAAAATCCCCCAAATTCCTAGTGTTTGGAAAAGATGCTTAAGAGACATAGAGTCCAGGATGCCCCAAGCCTGGCAATTTGGACACACGCTTGAGTTCTGAGAGAGCTGAAGAATTTCCCAGCATGCTCCAGCGCTTGACTCTGGCTGGCTTGCTTCAGGCCCCTCTGGAGGAAGACCTGCGCTGTGCGGCGGGCTCCGGAGGTGAGGACTGGCGGGCGTGTGCAAGTTCTGTCGCTCTCCAATGGGATGGTGGGAGAGCTCTCACCCCTTTCCCGTGGCTTGCGAGTCGGAACCAGGAAAGGTTTGGTATTCTGCCTCCTTTGGGGTTCTCATCACCCCTTAGGCTGACCCAATAGTTCCCCCAGCTCTTATCACTTCACAAAACCCCCCGAAAAACCCACAATGAGCTTCTGTGGAAGGAGCCGCAGCTTGACTTCACAGCCACGCCACGTGGACTGTGCTGTTGACGGTGTTGTGTATGTCAGACCCGGGGGAGGGCCCGAGGTCCTGGGAGCAGGGTGCTGGGGTGTGCTGCAGGCATTCATGGCCCAGGTAGATCTCCTTGGCAGCCAGCTTGCGGAGTGTGTCTTTCTCGGTGGGCCCTCCCGACCGTGACAGTGCTGGCTGTCAGTCAAAAGCAAGCCTGGCGCGGCCTCTGGGGGGGACGCCAAGGGCATCAGGACTGACCTGGATGAGCCTGTGCAAGACCGCTTGGCACACCGCCTTTTTATCACTGGATGCAAGTTCCTGCCTGGTCAGGAGGATGCCATAGCGACTGTAGAACTCGATGTACGTCCACCTGGAGAGCCAAAGACATGCACCTGGGGGAGTGTACAGAGGGACCAGGCAGGGAGGCCCCTGTGCCTGTGGATGCCCATGCTTGACCACCTTTGTCAGCACCCTGGCCCAGGAGTGCCCCCTTCCCGAGAGCGCTGGGGCGGCAGCAGGCAGCCATCACCATCACGGAGATGGGGAGCAGGTGAGCTGACAGTGGCTTAGCTGCACCAATGGCGGGCTTCTTTCTACTTGCCTTCCCACAGGTCCGTGGGCGCAAGTCCCAGGGCACATGACAGAGGTCAGAAACATGCACCCTACAGGCAGTGTCACCCCTTGGAGTTCAGCGCAGGCCTGGGGCTGGAGACTTTGACCCCCAGACTGACCAGGACTGGCCACCCACCTGGAGGGGTAGCTCTGTGCGCTGATGCGAATTGTCTCCAACACACCACAGGCGCGCAGCTGCTGGACAATTCTCTGGGAGTCAAACCTTAAAAGAAGACAACTTGATGTCACGGAGCCATGGGGCCG